GCTTTGACTAGGCCATTCCAAGACATTTAAATATTCCCCCTTAAACCACTCAAGTGTTGCTTTAGCAGTATGCTTAGGGTCATTGTCCTCCTGGAAGGTGAACCTCCGTCCCAGTCTCAAATCTCAGGAAGACTAAAACAGGTTTCCCTCAAGAATTTCCCTGTATTTAGCGCCATCCTTCATTCCTTCAATTCTGACCAGTTTCCCAGTCCCTACCGATGAAAAACATCCCCACAGCATGATGCTGGATGGTGTTCTCGGGGTGATGAGAGGTGTTGAGTTTGCGCCAGACATAGCGTTTTCCTTGATGGCCAAAAAGCTCAATTTTAGTCTCATCTGACCAGAGTACCTTCTTCAATATGTTTGGGGAGTCTCCCAAACGTGTTTGCTTATTTTTTTCTTTAAGCAATGGCTTTTTTTCTGGCCACTCTTCCGTAAAGTCCAGCTCTGTGGAGTGAACGGCTTAAAGTGGTCATATGGACAGATACTCCACTGTGGAGCTTTGCATCTCCTTCAGGGTTATCTTTGGTATCTTTGTTGCCTCTCTGATTAATGCCCCCCTTGCCTGGTCCGTGAGTTTTGGTGGGCGGCCCTTTCTTGGCAGGTTTGTTGTGGTGCCATATTCTTAAAATTTTTTTAGAATGGATTTAATGGTGCTCCGTGGGATGTTCAAAGTTTCAGATATTTTTTTATAACCCAACCCTGATCTGTACTTCTCCACAACTCTGTCCCTGACCTGTTTGGAGAGCTCCTTGGTCTTCATGGTGCAACTTGCTTGGTGGTGCCCCTTGATTAGTGGTGTTGCAGACTCTGGGGCCTTTCAGAACAGGTGTATATATACTGAGATCATGTGACAGATCATGTGACACTTTGATTGCACACAAGTGGACTTTATTTAACTAATTGTGTGACTTCTGAAGGTAATTGGTTGCACCAGATCTTATTTAGGGGCTTCATAGCAAAGGGGGTGAATACATATGCACGCACCATTTTTCCGTTATTTATTCTTTTGAAAAAAGTTTTTTTTTTTCATTTCATTTCACCAATTTGGACTATTTTGTGTATGTCCATTATATGAAATCCAAATAAAAAAATCTATTTAAATTACAGGTTGTAATGCAACAAAATAGGAAAAACGCCAAGGGGGATGAATACTTTTGCAAGGCACTGTAAATCTTGTGTTCCAGACTGTCTGAACTGTTCTTGAGCGGATGATGATGAGTCAGTGGTTTGATGTAACCTCAAGTCCCCTTCCTAAAGTGATGGGGGCTCAATGTGCTGATTGACACTTGGCAGATGCAGACGAGATGCTGTCATGTGACTATATCAAACTGGGGCCTAAACTGAGCCATGGCATATGGCTGTCAACTCTGAGCTAAAATAATCATTATAAGCGTATGATCCAAACACGAGGGGACAGGCTCTCCTATTGCCATAACAGTAGCTACACACTGCCATTCTCTAGCGATTCTGAAAGGTGGCACTGAGATTGGTTTTAGTACCATCCGACTATATAACAGAAATGGTGCACGGCTATTCATTTTACACTCCCCGAAAAAGATATTGCGACAAACTTTCCTCAGACAACATCAAAGTTACTGTATTTTCACATGATGAAAAAATATAGGAACACATTTCAAGGAATGATCCTGTTCTAGGTCAGATCTATATAATATCCTACCGATATGAAAAACATTGGTATGTTATATGATAATGATAGTAATAGTTATGCTAGTAGCCTCAAGACAATCATATTAGATTCAGACATATCTATTCTCAAAGCCCTCTCACACCCACAGACAACCACCCAAAATTTCATAGTCTGAAAGGGAAAAAGAATAACTAATTATCGACCAACAAGTTTGCTCAATCCAAAGTTACAACCAACTGATTGCAGCATTACTGCAAAAATGGAGAAGGAAAGTGGAAGGGCGAGAAGGTAGGGAACTTCTTTGTCTGCCATAGATTAAAGACTAAAATTGGCTGAAAAAGATTGGCATGAATTGAAAGGACAGAAATGTTAACAGCTGCGCCATACAGGTTGCAAAATAGCTGGGAAGAGATTTTCGATGTACCGTTCCATGGCACATGGTATATGAACTAAAACACAAAACAACACTTGATTCAACACTTAAGAGTTTTTCAATTTAAATTATTATACAAAATTATTGCCACCAACAGAATGTTATATACTGTATATGGGGCATACAACAGTCTCGGCTCTGTATATTTTGCTGCGAATAAAAATAATCAGGAGTACTTTTTTGTACTAGTGTTGAATAAAATAGTGTTGACAGCACTGAATAAAAACTTAGACATGAACTCACTAATTTTAAAAAACAGCTCTTTGCTATTTTCTTTGACAGTCTCTCACTGATCATGCTTTTAAAAGTTATGAAATCTCACGTAGGCCTGTATCAAACTTTGCTGTGGCCGGGGTCGTGGAAGCTGTAGCCACTGTGTTTTGAGCTTTCCGATTGGCCAGCGCAGTAGGCACACTCGATTTAGCCACATATCTCCTGGTCCGCTGGGTAGGAGGAGTTTGTCTTTTCAGACAAATTAAATGGTTCAAAATGGGAACACTTTGCCTACCCAGTGCGCAGGGCTTCTGAATCAAATGCACTTACCGCCAACAGCGCAACACAAATAAAAAATGTAAAGGAGTGCAAGCCTTTATCGTTGGCTTTTCTACAGAAATGTTTGGTGATCAACTAGGAATGCCTTGAAGATCGACCAAAAAAAAGCAGACATTGAATATCCCTTTGATCATCCGTTTGAGTGAAGTTATTAATTACACTTTGGATGGTGTATTAATACACCCAGTCTACAAAGATACAGGCGTCCTTCCTAACTCAGTTGCCGGAGAGGAAGGAAACCGCTCAGGGATAGTCCCCTGTAGCTCAGTTGGTAGAGCATGGCGCTTGCAACGCCAGGGTTGTGGGTTCGTTTCCCACGGGGGGCCAGTATGAAAATGTATGCACTCACTAACTGTAAGTCGCTCTGGATAAGAGCGTCTGCTAAATGACTAAAATTTAAAATGTAAATGAGGCCAATGGTGATTTTAAAACAGTTACAGGGTTTAATGGCTGTGATAGGAGAAAACTGAGGATGGATTAACAACATTGTAGTTAATCCACAATACGAACCTAATTGACAGAGTGAAAAGAAGGAAGCCTGTACAGAAAACAAATATTCCAAAACATGCATCCTGTTTGCAACAAGGCAATAAAGTAATACTGCAAAAAATTGTTATGTTTGTGGCAAATCCAATACAACACATTACTGAGTACCACTCTCCATATTTTCAAGCATAGTGGTGGCTACATCATGTTATGGGTACGCTTGTAATTGTTAAGGACTGGGGGGAGGGGGGGGGGGGGTTCCGTAAAAAAATAGAATGGAGCTAAGCACAGGCAAAATCCTCGAAGAAAACCTGGTTCAGTCTGCTTTCCACCAGACACTGGGAGATTAATTTATCTTTCAGCAGAACAATAACCAAAAACACAAGGCCAAATATACACTGGAGTTGCTTACCAAGAAGACAGTGAATGTTCCTGTGTGGCCGAGTTACAGTTTTGACTTAAATCTACTTGAAAATCTATGGCAAGACCTGAAAATGGTTGGCTAACAATGATCAACAACCAATTTGATAGAGCTAGAAAATGGGCAGATGTTGCACAATCCAGGTGTGGAAAGCTCTTAGAGACTTACCCAGAAAGACTCACAGCTGTAATCGATTCCAAAGGTGCTTCTGCAAAGTATTGTCTCAGGGGTGTGAATACTTATGTAAATTAGATATTTTTGTATTTCATTTTTAAAACATTAGCAAACATTTCTAAAAAACATGTTTTCACTTTTTCATTATGGGGTATTGTGTGTAGATGGGTTAAAAATTAAATGTAATCCATTTTGAATTCAGGCTGTAACACAACAAAATGTGGAATAAGTCAAGGGGTATGAATACTTTCTGAAGGCACTGTATTCTGGTATTGTCCCCATGGAGCTTGTTTCTGGTCAAAGGTTCAGGAATGGCTGAACAATCACAACATTCATTTAAAATCAACCCTACAAACAGCAGTGTTGGGTGATTTGGGAAGCCATAATCAATCAACAATATAATAATACTCTTAGGAAAAATGTTCATATTTAACTTACAATTTGTGGATACTATGTGATTAAAAAAGTAAAAAATGCATGTAAGACAGCACAATTGAAAAATATATTGCACATAAAAGAGGGTGGTCTACGGAGATAGGTGGAATGGGCTGAGAGTAGCAGAGGGGTGGGATTAAAAAAGCAGCTCATGATCGGTAATAGTTATTACTGAAAACACTATATACACTGTAGATGTCTGAGTACTATCTATCCTAAATGTAATGTGTATATCAAAAACACAATATATTTGTTATGTAACTACTGTGTATAAAACTACCATGTACTGTATGTAAAAAACAAAAATGTTAAACAAAGTGACTTTTGTCCTACGAAGAGGTGGATGGGCCAATAAAAAGAAATAAAAGAAATCTACCAACAATAACTTTCCCTTGTGTTGCCGCAGTGTAACAAATTCATTGGCACTTTGGTACCACTATTATAAATCATTATGACAGGTCTGGAGGTGTTGTGTTGAATACAGTACATTCACAGCATACATTGTGTTTGTGTGGTAGGCTTGTATGCGCCAAGAAATAAGCAGGATTTTTTTGTCAATATATCCTCATCTATCTCTGTGTGGTGGCTGGTGGTTTCGCATAAGGAGTGGGCTGGGGGGCTGTGGGACTGGGGTTGCTAAAAGGCTTTGGGGAGAAGGATGGGTAGTATTTGTAGTATTTGTATTAAAGGACCCTCTACCCTGCTGTTTCCTTGTGGCCCACTCACAGAGGAGGTTCTCCTTACCGCCTGATCTCTACACCACCTGATTGTTAATGAAACAGGCCACAGTAGAAATTCATCACTGTGTAATGCAATATCTGAGAGTAACAGAGTCTGTCCTCGCAACGATGACCCCCACTCCCATAGGGGACCAGGGAGGACAGAGGGTACGGGGGAGGGGTAAGGTCCAACTTGAAAGAAGGATAGTGAAGGGAAGGAGCAAGAGAGAGGGGAAAGAGAGTGAGTGAAAGGGGGGAGATGAGAGTGAGAGAGAGTGAGAGGCACTGCGGGGATCAATTACAGAGGTTGTGAGTTAGCGTATTTGCAGCCCTGGTATGTGGGTTTATTGCACTGGGACACAGTCGGGAGAAGCAGGGAGCTTATTAAGCACCAGAGAAGAAGGAAAAAAATAGATGAGTAAACCTGGGGGCTTCCTCTCCTCCTCTCATTCATTTCTGCTTGTCAGGCACTTTCAGTTGCAGACCATTAAAGTGATGAGCAGATGAACTTAAAGCAATGATAATCGAGAGGATAGACTGACTAGAGACACTTTATAAATATCACTATAGAGAGGCTGGACACAGCATTGAACTGCAACACTGATGAAACTGATCACAAATCATCATAGCTGATGTCTTCTCACACCCATTTAGAAGTCATCACACATCTTCACACTCATTTAAGTGACTACTAGTATGCACGACTCACCGCAAATTATCACAGCAGTGTAAAACTAATTTAAAATCCATCACAGCGATGCCACAGACATCACACTGTCTTTCAGTACAGGACAAAACCCCTTATAATTCATCAGACCTCCAGGAAACTCCATTGAGACCATCACCGACTAGGTTGCTCCATAGGTTCATGGACTCATACTGTGGCATTGTACACTCATCATCACAATGACAAATTCATTACCCTGACGCTAACCCCTACAACTCAGTTGACTCCTGTCTATGGACACTCAAAACAGCTCATCATATGCTTCACTAGCTCAACATCATTCCCCATTGTCCTCCACCATTCACTGCCTGCCCACAATGGACTAGAACCACTAAATTGATACTTGATCAAGCACCTAAAAAACCCTATTTACTTCTGGCATCCAATAATGCCATCTCATCGCTGTGTTCCATGCCCTCTACGCTCGGGTGATTCAGCACTGTCTGTGTCTGTAGAGCCCCCCCTCCCAACGTGATATTAATTCACCTTGAGCCCCTGTGTCTGTACAGCAAACAACTCCCCAAAGCTAGCAGATGGGGATGCATACAGGATTTGTGTGGGAATGTGTTTTTTAATGACTCCCTTCTGTACAGTCGGATCATTACCTATCGATCAGCTGATTATTTAACCCCTGGTTATATCGCCAGTCACCTGCATCATGGCTGGCACGCCCACTGAGGCACAGGTTATATGGCGGGAGGTCAAAGCTGTACAGGTGAGCATGTATACTATCCATATGAAGGGTGTAATTGAAGCCTTGGTTTAATCAAGTCCCTCTCTGACCATCCACTGATTGCTAAAGGCCCAGCCAGGATACATAAATGTGTTAAAGGGATGGCGCTCACAGTCTGCCAACCCTGGCAATCTAGAGTAAGGCTCCCTCTGGATCTGTGGTTAACCCCACCGGCTGCTTACCATTCAATCATTCCTCTCTTTTCAATGCAGATGTGGATATAAAGTGTGAGAAATAAAGGAGAGGTTTTAACTGGTTGGCGTCGCAGAGTCACACCAGTAGGGCCAACTAGGCTGTGGATGTGTAGTGTAAGCATGAAGCCATCACATTTACTCTGTTATTCCTGTGGAAACAGATAGGCTAACAGTCATAAAAAGGCAATTAACATTTTAAATTTTTGTCATTTAGCAGACGCTCTTATCCAGAGCGACTTAGTTAGTGCATCTTAAGATAGCTAGGTGGGACAACCACATATCACAGTCATAGTAAATACACTATATATACACAAAAGTATGTGGACACCCCTTCGAATTAGTGGATTCGGCAATTTCAGCCGCAGCCGTTGCTGACAGGTGTATAAAATCGAGCACACAGCCATGTCATCTCCATAGACAAACATCGGCAGTCGAATGGCCTAACTGAAGAGCTGTGACTTTCAACGTGGCACCGTCATAGGATGCCACCTTTCCAACAAGTCAGTTCGTAAAATTTCTGCCCTGCTAGAGCTGCCCCGGTCAACTGTAAGTGCTGTTATTATGAAGTGGAAACGTCTAGGAGCAACAACGGCACAGCCGCGAAGTGGTAGGCCACACAAGCTCACAGAACGGGACCGCCGAGTGCTGAAGCGCATAGTGCGTAAAATTGTCTGTTCTCGGTTGCAACACTTACTACCGAGTTCCAAACTGCCTCTGGAAGCAACGTCAGCACAAAAAGTGTTCATCGGGAGCTTCATTAAATGGTTGTCCATGGCCGTGTTCTCTGGAGTGATGAATCACACTTCACCATCTGGCAGTCCGACGGACGAATCTGGGTTTGGCGAATGCCAGGAGAATGCTACCTGCCCCAATGCATAGTGCCAACTGTAAAGTTTGGTGGAGGAGGAATAAAGGTATGGGGCTGTTTTCCATGGTTCAGGCTCCTTAGTTCCAATGAAGGGAAATCTTAATGCTACAGCATACAATGACATTCTGCTTCCAACTTTGTGGCGATAGTTTGGGGAAGGCCCTTTCCTGTTTCAACATGACAATGCCCCCATGCACAAAGCGAGGTCCATACAGAAATGGTTTGTCGAGATCGGTGTGGAAGAACTTAAATGGCCTGCACAGAGCCCTGACCTCAACCCCATTGAACACCTTTGGGATAAATTGGAACACCGACTGTGAGCCAGGCCTAATCGCCCAACATCAGTGCCTCACTAATGCTCTTGTGGCTGAATGGAAGCAAGTTCCCGCAGCAATGTTACAACATCTGATGGAAAGCCTTCCCACTAGATGTGGAAGCTGTTATAGCAGCAAAGGGGGGATCAACTCCATATTAATGCCCATGACTCTGGAATGAGATGTTCGATGAGCAGGTGTACACATACGCTTCCTGTGTGAGGTAGGGTTGTAATATATGGATGTTATAGAGAATGAACCTGCAGGAGAATGTCACTGGTTTGATGTTTGCAGAGAACGGCAGGGTGTTGTCCAGGGTCACGCCAAGGATCGTTGCCCTCTGGGAGGGGGACACCATTGTCAACCATGACGGAGTGGTTTTGTGCGGGCAGGCATTCTTCGGGAGGAAGAGCAGCTCTGTCTTGTCAAGGTTGAGCTTGAGGTAGTGGGCCGACATCCAAGCTGAGTTATCTACCAGGCACGCAGAGATGTGTGTCGCTACCTGGGTGTCAGAAGAAGAAAAGTAGTTAAGTTTCATCCGCATAGCAATTATAGAAGAGACCATGTGAGGATATGACGGAGCCGAGTGACTTGGTGTATAGAGAAAAGAGGAGAGGGTCTAGAACCGAGCCCTGGGGGACAACAGTAGTAAGAGTCCATGGTGCAGACACAGATCCTCTCTACGTCTGTCACACTCTGGCTCTGGGACTTTTTATGTTTAGTCAGGGTGTGTAGATTTCCGTGTGTTTTGTACTGTGGGTAGTGTCTAGGTGTTCGCGTTCTATGTTTGGTCAGTGACTCCCAATCGGAGGTAACGAGTGTCAGCTGTCGGCTCGTTATCTCTGATTGGGAGCCATATTTAAATGTCTGTGTTCACCTTGTGGTTGTGGGTTTTTGTGCTATGTTCAGTCGGTGTAACTGAGGACGTCACGGATCGTGTTTTGTTTTGTCGTGTGTTTCAACATTAAAATCATCATGTTCACTCCCAACGCTGCGCTTTGGTCGTACTTCATTGGCGCCCGTGACAGAAAAAGCCACCACAACGAGACCAAGCAGCAGTTGGATGACGAGTGGTGGAGCCAGAAGAGCGAAGGTTGGGAGAGGACATTAGAGGCCTGGTCCACGGGGAGGAGAGACCCCCAGAAAATTTTTAGAGGGGGCTCACGACGTCGGGGCAGCAGGAGTACGGGATTGAGGAGTGCAGAAGGTTGGCAGAGGAGGCCGCCAGGTTAAGGGGGCCACTGGTCACGAAGGGGAAGGAAGGTGTGGAGGCAGGGCGAAAGGTACTGGGGTGTGTTACCAGTCCGGTCCGGCCCGTTCCTGATCCCCATGGAGGGCCAGGGGTGTGTGTCCCCAGTGCGGTCCTGTCTGTTCCTGCTCCCCGCACCAAGTCTGTGGTGCGTTTCGTCAGCCCTGTCCGGCCCGTGCCTGCTCCCCGCTCCAAGCCAATGATGCGCGTCGCCAGCCCGGCCCGGCCTGTTCCTGCTCCCCGCACCAAGTCTGTGGTGCGTTTCGTCAGCCCTGTCCGGCCCGTGCCTGCTCTCCGCACCAAGGCTGTGGTACGTGTCGCCAGCCCGGTTCGGCCTGTTCCTGCTCCCCGGCTCAAGTCTGTGGTGCGTCTTGTCAGCCCTGTCCGGCCTGGTCCTGCTCCACGCCCCAAGCCAAGGGTGCGTTTCGTCAGCCCTGTCCGGCTCGTCCCTACTCTCCGCACCAAGTCTGTGGTGCGCGTTGCCAGCCCATTCCGGTCCGGTCCTGCTCCACGCACCAAGCCAGGGGTGTGTATCGTCAGCCCGGTCCGGTCCGTTCCTGTTCCACGCGCCAAGCCAGGGGCGCGTGTCGTCAGTCCGGTTCCGGCCAGCGGGGCTAGACAGGACCAGGGGTACTTTGGGGGGTTGGAGAGGAAGTGGGGAGGAGGCCCGGAGCCGGAGCCGCCGCCGAGGAGGAATGCCCACCCAGCCCTCCCCTGGTTGCTTGTATTTAGGCGCGGTCGCAGTCCGCGCCTTTAGGGGGGGGTACTGTCACACTCTGGCTCTGGGACTTTTTATGTTTAGTCAGGGTGTGTAGATTTCCGTGTGTTTTGTACTGTGGGTAGTGTCTAGGTGTTCGCGTTCTATGTTTGGTCAGTGACTCCCAATCGGAGGTAACGAGTGTCAGCTGTCGGCTCGTTATCTCTGATTGGGAGCCATATTTAAATGTCTGTGTTCACCTTGTGGTTGTGGGTTTTTGTGCTATGTTCAGTCGGTGTAACTGAGGACGTCACGGATCGTGTTTTGTTTTGTCGTGTGTTTCAACATTAAAATCATCATGTTCACTCCCAACGCTGCGCTTTGGTCGTACTTCATTGGCGCCCGTGACAACGTCACCCGGTAGGGGCGGCCTGCCAGGTAGAATGCAATCCAAGAACGTGCAGAGCCTGAAACGCCCAGCCCTGAGAGGGTGGCGAGGAGGATCTGATGGTTCACAGTGTCGAAGGCAGTGGATAGATCTAGAAGGATGAGAACAGAGGAGAGAGAGTCAGCTTTGGCATTGCAGAGAACCTCCGTGACACAGAGAAGAGCAGTCTCGGTTGAGTGACCTGTCTTGAAGCCTGACTGGTTAGGGTCAAGATGATCGTTCTGAGAGAGATAGCGAGAGAGTTGGTCAGAGACAGCACGCTCAAGTGTTTTGGAAAGAAAAGAAAGAAGGGATACCGGTCTGTAGTTTTTGACGTCAGAGGAGTTGTGTTGGTTTTTTGAGGAGGGGAGCAACTCGGGCCATTTTGAAGTCAGAGGGGATGCAGTTAGTGGTCAGGGATGAGTTGATGAGGGAAGTGAGGAATGGGAGAAGGTCTCCAGAGATGGTCTGGAGAAGGGAGGAGGGGATGGGGTCGAGTGGGCAGGTTGTCAGCTGGCCAGACCTCACTAGTTGCAGGATTTCATCTGCAGAGAGAGGGGAGAAAGAGGTCAAGGCGTAGGGTAGTTCTGTGTGAGTGGGACCAGTGGACTCAATAGGCTGAGTGAATGAGGAGCGGATGTCGTCAACCTTCTTTTCAAAGCCATCTGCAGAGAGGGAAGGGTGGAGGATTAAGGAGGGAGGAGAAGGTGGAAAATAGTTTCCTAGGGTTAGAGGCAGAAGCTTGAAATTTAGAGTAATAAAAAGTGGCTTTAGCAACGGATACAGAGGAAGAGAAGGTAGAGAGAGAGTGTAAAAGGATGATAGGTCTTCCGGAAGTTTAGTTTTCCTCCATTTTCGCTCAGCTGCCCGCAGCCCTGTCCTGTAAGCTCGCAATGAGTCACTCAGCCACGTAGCAGGAGGGGAGCGGTAGGAAAGGGGACAGTGCGAGTCATAGTATGCGGAAAAGTAGGAGAGTAGGGTCGAAGAGACAGAATCAGGAGACAAGAGGGAGAAGGACTTAGCAGAAGGGAGAGATGATAGGATAGAAGAGGAGAGAGTTGTGGGAGAGAGAGAGCGAAGATTGCGACGGGCCATGACCATCTGGGTAGGGGCTAAGTGGCTAGGGTTGGAGGAAAGGGAGACAGAAAAGGAAACAAAGTAGTGATCAGAGAACTGGAGGGGGGTTCCAGTGAGATTAGTAGGCGACCAGCCTCTAGTTAAGATGAGGACAAGCGTATTGCCTGCCTTGTGAGTGGTAGGGGAATGGGAAAGGGTGAGGTCAAAAGAGGCAAGGATGGGAAAGAGAGAGTTGGAAAGAAATTAATCGAAGGCAGACATTGGGAGGTTGAAGTCGCCAAGTACAAAGAGCGGTGAGCCAGCGTCAGGAAATGATCTTATTAAGGTGTCAAGCTAATTGATGAAAACTGTAAGGGCAAATGGTATATATACAGGGGGTACCGGTACCGAGTCAATGTGTGGGGGCACCGGTTAGTCAAGGTAATTGAGGTAATATGTACATGTAGGTAGAGTTATTAAAGTGACTATGCATAGATAATAAACAGAGAGTAGCGGGGGCAATGCAAATAGTCTGGGTAGCCATTTGATTAGATGTTCAGGAGTCTTATGGCTTGGGGGTAGAAGCTGTTTAGAAGCCTCTTGGACCTAGACTTGGCGCTCTGGTAATGCTTGCCGTGCGGTAGCAGAGAGAACAGTCTATGACTAGGGTGGCTGGAGTCTTGGTGTGCTTGGACCATGTTAGTTTGTTGGTGATGTGGACACCAAGGAACTTGAAGCTCTCAACCTGTTCCACTATAGCCCCGTCGATGAGAATGGGGGCGTGCTCGGTCCTCTTCTTTTTCCTGTATGCTGAGATGAACTCGGCGTTCTTGACCACGGAACAGCAGTTCCAAACGCTGCCAAATTAGAAGGGTTGCAGTCAAGTGGTGGGAGCGTCTGTAAAGCCTACAGGGAGAGGAGCGAACAGGTATAGAAAACACACACATATGAGATCTGAAAATAACTAGGTAAGATACTCAAGTGAGAGAGTGGTGTGGAGCCTGTCGTGGTAATTATTCTAATCAAAGGAGAGACTTTTAGATTTCCTCAAAACAATTGAACTTTATTAATTACTGCAGTAATGGAGTGTAAACAGTCACCAGATGGTGTAGAGTTAATGCCCAAATAAACAGGATTCGGTTACAACTCTTTATAGTCTTCCTGAGTCCTTGTGACGAAGAACAGATATGTGAAATTATACAAAGGTACATTGTGCTCTCATGCAACAGACATCAAAAAACATCAAGATTTACATGCCGCCAAATATATGTCTCTAGTTCATTAACTGCTTGTTTATACAAATATACTAATGCAACATAGGATACTAAGCCCTTTTCTCAGAAGAGTCAAGTATTCATCTGCCATATGGGATAAATAAACTGGAGATTGGGTCTCCCTGGCACCGACAGAAAGGCACACAGACACTAATCATGGAATGGAATGTTGTCTTATCACCAAGCCATCGTAAATCGACTGTCAGAGTTCAATCTCAGTTGACACAGACACATGAGAGTTCTAAAAACCCTATTATGTTGCCTCTCAGAAGAACAGACAGTGTGAATGTACTGATATAGGAATACATTCTAATATAAAAGTAATGTGATTAACATAATGTTGTAATTCTACAACAAGCCTTCCTCTCTTTCCTTTCTCGAACAACTCGGCAAAACTGTCTTTGTTTCGGCGTCGGTCTTAGTTTTGCGACGAGACCACCGCTGACATGGCTGCCGCTGAAAAAACTGTGGAGACTGAAGTACTAATACTAATTGCTAATTGCCTTGCAAAGGTAAAGAGCACACCTCCTGGTACTAATTGCTGATTGCCTAGGAGAGGAGAAACTCTAAGCCTCAGCTGAATCTGGTAATTAATGGTGTGGCTGTTGAACAAGTTGAGGAGTCTAAATTACTTGGTGTTACCTTATATTGTAAACTGTCATGGTCAAATCATATAGTTTCAATGGTTGTAAAGACGGGGAGAGGTCTCTTCCATAATAAAGAGATGCTCTGCTTTTTTGACATCACCTTCCAAAAAGCAAGTCCTGCAGGCTCTAGTTTTGTCTTATCTTGATTATTGTCCAGTCATGTGGTCAAGTGCTGCAAATAAATACCTAGTTAAGCTGCATTTGGCCCAGAATGGAGTGGCATGTCTTGCTCTTCATTGTAATCAGGGGGCTTATTTAAATACCTGCATGCCAGTCTCTCTTGGCTACACATTAATGTGTTGAAAATTCCAAATTGTTTGCATAGTCAACTTACACACAGCTCTGACACACACAGTCCCCAAATCCAGAACAAATTCAAGAAAGCATACAGTATTATATAGTGCCATTATTTCATGGATTCCCTTCCATCTCATATTCCTCAAATGAACAGCAAACCTGGTTTCAAAAAACTGATAAAGCAAAACCTCACTGCAAACGCCTCTCCCCTATTTGACCTAGATATTTTGTGTGCATGTGTTGATTTGTAGGCTGTGTGCCATTTTCAAATGTATGTAGTTCTGTCCTTGAGCTGTTATTGTCTATTCATGTTCTGTATTATGTCATGTTTCATGTTTTGTGTGGACCCCAGGAAGAGTAGCTGCTTTCACAACAGCTAATGGGGATCCTAATAAAATACCAAATACCAATACAGCTACTGATTATGAAAACAACAACAGTCACAAATTGTCCTGCCCCTTAATCCTGGTTGATGTGCCAACAATCATCTGCAAGTTACGAGCAGTCAGCAGTTCACACACCAAGTAGGCTACTGGGAAGACAGGCAGCACTTAAAGTAGATGGCCCTAGCTAGCAAAAAGACAGTACTAGACAACAACAGATAAAGACAAACATTATACTTATCACTCCTGGAGACATCAGGAGTCCTCTAGCTATAGAATAAAGCACCCTGAGATGGAGCCTGAGAAGCTGGTTATATACTCAGAAAAGAGGTGAAACCACTTCCCCTCCAATAGTAGTAAACTCAGCAAAAAAAGAAACGTCCTCTCACTGTCAACTGCGTTTATTAACAGCAAACTTAACATGTGTAAATATTTGTATGAACATAACAAGATTCATCAACTGAGACATAAACTGAACAAGTTCCACAGACATGTGACTAACAGAAATTGAATAATGTGTCCCTGAACAAAGGGGGGGTCAAAATAAAAAGTAACAGTCAGTATCTGGTGTGTCCACCAGCTGCATTAAGTACTGCAGTTCATCTCCTCCTCATGGACTGTACCAGATTTGCCAGTTTTTGCTGTGAGATGTTACACCACTCTTCCACCAAGGTACCTACAGGTTCCCGGACATTTCTGGGGGGAATGGCCCTAGCCCTCACCCTCCGATCCAACAGGTCCCAGACGTGCTCAATTGGATTGAGATCTGGGCTCTTCGCTGGCCATGGCAGAACACTGACATTCCTGTCTTGCAGGAAATCACGCACAGAACGAGCAGTATGGCTGGTGGAATTGTCATGCTGGAGGGTCATGTCAGGATGAGCCTGCAGGAAGTGTACCACATGAGGGAGGAGGATGTCTTCCCTGTAACTCACAGCGTTGAGATTGCCTGCAATAACAACAAGCTCAGTCCGATGATGCTGTGACACACCGCCCCAGACCTGTAGCGCTGTCTTAGGCATCTCACAGTACGGACATTGCAAATTATTGCCCTGGCCACATCTGCAGTCCTCATGCCGCCTTGCAGCATGCCTAAGGCACGTTCACGCAGGTGAGCAGGAACCCTGGGCATTTTTCTTTTGGTGTTTTTCAGAGTCACTTAGTGTCCTACGTTTTCATAACTGTGACCTTAATTGCCTACCGTCTGTAAGCTGTTAGTGTCTTAACGACCGTTCCACAGGTGCATGTTCATTAATTGTTTATGGTTCATTGAACAAGCATGGGAAATAGTGTTTAAACCCTTTACAATGAAGATCTGTGAAGTTATTTAGATTTTTACGAATTATCTTTGAAAGACAGGGTCCTGAAAAAGGGACGTTTCTTTTTTTGCTGAGTTTATTTATTGGGATCCCTAATTAGGCGCTGCCTAGGCAGCAGCTACTCTTCTGGGGTCCAAGACAGGAAACAAAGCACAACAAATAAAATGCATAAAATACATAGTATACATAATATAATAAATAATATACATAACACTACATAATCTCCTGCCTCTGCCTCACGCTTTAGAAACAGGAGATGGCTCCTGCCCTATGAGCTGTTCCGGCTTGCACAAACCAATAATTAGTGCAAGCCCACCTACATAATACAATAAATAATTCAGTGCAAATTACAATACAGAATATATAAAAATGTCTGTCTCTTCTTGGTCCCCGTTGTGCCGTAAAGTGTTCTTTTATCAGTTTTTTAAATCAGTTTTTATTGCTACGTTGAGTTACCTGGGGTGGCAGAGAGTTCCATGTAGTCATGGCTCTATTTAATAATGTGCATTTCCCAGACTCTGTTCTGAACCTGGGGACTGTGAAGAGACCTCTGATTGCATTTATTTACAGATGAGTGTCTGAACTGTGTGCCAACTACTTGAACAGAGAGTTCGGTTACCTTCAAAACATCAACACCTCGCACAAAGTCCAATAGTGATGCAGTCCATCTCTCCTCAACTTTGAGCCAGGAGAGACTGACATGCATGTTACTGACATTTGCCCTCTGTGTACATCTAAGTGCAATATGTGCTGCTCTGTTCTGGACCAACTGCAATTTACCTATTTTCCTCTTGACCACACAACTGGGCAGTAGTCCAGGTGTGACAAAACTAGGGCCTGTAGGACCTGTCTGGTCGACTGAGATGTCAAGAAAGCAGAGCAACGCAATAAAGCCACTGGTTACCAAAATAACAACAGTCACAAATTGCCCTGCCCCTAATCCTGGTTGGTGTGTCAAGAATCATCTGCAAGTTATGAGCAGTCAGCAGTTCACACACCAAGTAGGCTACTGGGAAGACAGGCAGCACTTAAAGTAGATGACCCTAGCTAGCAAAAAGACAGCACTAGACAACAACAGATAAAGACTAAATTAAAGATGACAAAGATTTTTTGGCACATCCATTATCCATAACAATCTCTCAGGAGGGAACATTCCCCAGATATTCTGCCTTGTTTTCTTGTCCCGTGGATTGGAGGAGGAGGAAGAGGTCATTACTCGACCTAGAGCCCTGTGGTAATTGACATTAGGGAGGGGGTTGGAGGAAACAGGCGACATGATAATCAATTTGAAGCTGTATCGGTAACAAGAGCTGCTGGGGGGCTCCAGCCCCCTATGAAGAGACCAGATGGCCCCAGCCCTGTGTGGGCCTGTGAGGGTGGAAGGGGAGGGGAGAGACAATGGGAGAGAGGGGAGGGGAAGGGAGCATGTGCAGGAAGGGATGCATGGGGCAAACACTTTTAGCTGGATAGAGGATTTGTGTGTGTGTGTGGTGCATGTGTGTGCGTGTTTGCTTGAGAGACGGTGCCATCTGCCAGCAACGCACTCGGGGTTCAGCAGATGTGTTCTCTGACACTGGGGGTGCCGCAGAGAGGGATGTGGAGAGGGTTCTAACACACCACAGTCTACCTCTGTGGGAGAGAGGAGACAGACGGCTGGGTGACTGGACAGCTGCATGGCACATGACACCCACATACGCACATACACACCATACCACAAATGCAAACACACACTGACTCTCTTGTACCGGCTCTATGAACACTCACTGGACTCTTCCCACACACTGACACTCCAACAAACACACACACACTACATACGCTCACACACACAAAACACACACACACATGCATGTTGATGCCAGTGTTGATGCCAGACACACACACACACTCTTCACATACGCTGCTGCTACTCTGTTTATTATCTATCCTGATTGCCTAGTCACTTTTATCCGTACCTATATGTACATATTACCTCTATTACCTCAACTACCTCATACCCCTGCACATTGACTCTGTACTGGTACTCTTGGTATTTAGTCTCATTATTGTTACTTTTTATTTAAAATTTGATTTGATTTGTTACTTTATTGTGTAACTATTTCCTTTTTCTATGCACATTTTTCTTACTTTTTAACTCTGCATTGTTGAGAAAGGGCTCGTAAGTAAGCATTTCACGGTAAAGTCTACACCTGTTGTATTCGGTGCATGTGACAAATAAAATCTGATTTGATTTGACACACACAGATGCACAGATGCACAGGTCCACACATACTAATACAGTATACACACTCACATGCTCACACAGACAGACATAACTCAGAACTCTGTTTTTTTCCATTGGACCCTGAGGGTAAAGGCCCTTTTGGGGACATAGGAGGGGGAGGATGTCTGGTCAGGTCTGTCCTCATTTGGATGCTGTCCTATTATTTTTGTTAGACAGACAGACTGACTGACTGACTGACTGACTGAATTCAGGGTCAGCAGATGACAGGAGATGCAGCTCCCAGGCAGCTGTAAAGTACTTCTCTCTAGACAGATATTATGTGTCTGGTCATTGAGCAGAGTAGCACAGACAGACTGAGTGAAGGAGAACTTCCAGATCTCAGTGAAAGGTCACAGTGAACCCCAGCTGGCCAGACCGGCCCAGCCAGTCATCTGGGATTGGCCGCGGGGACCAGCGGGTACCCTGAATGCACATCTATGACCTTTAGAGAATGCACTTCCTGTCTACAGCACCAGAAACAGTGTGTTAGTGTCTTCATTGAGGAGGGAGTGTGTGGCAGGGATATTCTACTCTAGTTTTCACAGGCTTTAGTGTCTAGCAGTTGTCTCTCTTTCCTGGAGCTAAGGTTTTAAATTGAAATCAAAGTGTGAGAAAGTCAGTCTTATTCCCTCTTGGTTTATGGGTGTTGGTGCTGGTGGCAAGCACATGCAAGCCTAAAAACTAGTAGACACTGTGGACATGAGACACTGTGGACACCCCCTGTAGCAGAGTGTAAGGCCCGTCTCTTCATTTAGTGTAACCCCACCTCTGTTACTATCGACAAACCACTGGACCATCCACTGTCCTCATCTAGAGAAGTGTTGAATCTTGTTAACACTATTTTCTGATCGCGACACGCACCACTCGTCTCAAGCCGGCTTCCACCAACCAACCGCTCCCATTTTTAATTGCCGAAAAATGTTGTTTGTTGCTTCATTTTCAAAACAATCTCTTGAAATGTTAATTAATGAGGGATCTGTAAGAAATCTGCCAATTAGTGAGACCTGACAGATGAGCAGGCCGTGGCGCCGGATGCGTTGATGACTCAGGAGTTCAGGAGAGCTGCATATTTGTTTTGCCTGCAGGGCTGCCGAAAGGAGGGGCACTGTATGATTTAGGGCGAGAAACAGGGTTAGCAGTAAATGGGCTGCTTGATATCAATTAGCAAGGAAGAGATCATTATGGGGGAAATATTCAAGGTTCCTAAAATATTTACATATTGTTTCTTTTTTCCATCCACTCAAATATTAGTTTGGTCAAGTAATGCTTAACTCTGTCTAGCACTCTCTCAATTTAGTTAGGTTAAACCGGTTCATATTATAGACAGTGTTATCAATCTATATCAATCAATACATTACCAATCTAGAGATGATGGAAAATTAACTAACCCTGTTGTCCTTTTTGTGACAGGCGAGCCCGTGGTGACGAGGGGGAACAACTGTCTGAACGCAGCCAAGGCCTGCAACCTGAATGACACCTGTAAGAAGTACCGCTCAGCCTACATCAGCCCCTGCACCAGCCGTGTCTCCACTGCAGAGGTCTGCAACAAGCGCAAGTGCCACAAAGCCCTGCGGCAGTTCTTCGACAAGGTGCCACCCAAGCACAGCTACGGCATGCTGTTCTGTTCCTGTCCAGCCGGCGATCAGTCGGCCTGCTCCGAGCGCCGGCGCCAAACCATCGTACCAGTCTGTTCCTATGAGGACAAGGAAAAGCCTAACTGTCTCTCCCTGCAGGCCTCTTGCAAGACCAACTACATCTGCAGGTACACTAGGATAAACAGTTGTCAGAGTACGTAATATAGTACACAGGCATCTTGCAAGACCAACAACATCAAACATATAGCATAGCAAACAATCACATAGTCTCACGTGTCAGACTCCACATTTAAAACACAGACTGACCTATGTCAGTATATGGATAAAATGACATTTAAGTCAACACTGTATTTCCCCATGCCGTCTTTGAGATAGCATCCTCTGTAATGTGAAGAGGTGCTGCAGATTACAGATCCAAAGTGATGGGGTGTCTAAGTTAACACAGCATGGAGGTTGCTATCATGCCTTCAGAGGTGTTGAGAAATATACCAGTCCCTGATAAAAGATGTGAAAAATAAACAAACCTGTTAAGATAACTGGATACTATGTTGGGAGACTGCATCAGAAATAAACCATAACCATTCACCATGTAATGAATATAAGCAAACACTAAAGCTACCTACAATAACTGAGAGTATTCAGGTTAAGCAGTGAAACACTCCCATTTTCTTTCTGAATGTATGTATTTTCGGCCTTAAGTGTTTCATTTAGCTGTCATGTAGCAGTATTCAGGCTAGAATTACTGGGCAGTGGATTGGATGTGTTTGGGTTAAGTGGCCTGTGTATCATTGGCAGTAATAGAGGCTGTATTGAAATGCAGTGAAACAGACTGGACTCAATGAGTGACGTCTGCCATCGCCTCTAGAGCTACAGCACTCTGTCTGGGATTAAATGGAGGCATTAGTGCAAATAAATTGGTTCCATTTCGATTCCAGCCTCAGGGCTGTGCAGTCTCTCTCTCTCTCTCTCTCTCTCTCTCTCTCTCTCTCTCTCTCTATCTCTCTCTCTCTATCTCTCTCTCTCTCCCTAATTCTTTCTTTCTTTCTTTCTTTCTTTCTTTCTTTCTTTCTTTCTTTCTTTCTTTCTTTCTTTCTTTCTTTCTTTCTTTCTTTCTTTCTTTTTCTTTCTCTCTCTCTCTCTCTCTCTCTCTCTCTCTCTCTCTCTCTCTCTCTCTCTCTCTCTCTCTCTCTCTCTCTCTCTGTCTCTCTCTCTTTGTCTCACTATTTGTCTTATTTTCTATCTCTTCACTTAGCAAAATGTTCCCTTCTCAACAAATATGTAACACTAGGTGGTACTTGGCATCCCAACTCCATCATGAGTGGTATCCAGAGCTCCTCTCTGTTTGTGGGGAGGGATTATAAGACCAGGCGTACTTGCTGGCTGCTCCCTCACCATATGGGAGGTGTATCACAGAGTGGAATCATCACAGCTCTCCCTCTTCTCCCCTTCCACTAACACAGGAACAGATTGATGAGAGTACACAGACCCAACCATGCTGTGTGTATGGTTGTGTGTGTCCTTGTGTTAGTGTGTGTGTGTGTGTGTGTGTCCGTGTGTGTGTGCGTACCAATCAGTACCAGTGCTTTTGTCTATTTGACAGTGACAGTTAGTCTTATAGGAGAGATAAGAAAGTTCAGATACACTCACTGTTTGTGTTGTGTCTTTCAGGTCCCGTCTGGCTGATTTCTTTGCCAACTGCCAGTCTGAGCCACGCTCCCTCTCTGGCTGTCTTAAGGAGAACTACGCTGACTGCCTGCTCTCCTACTCTGGCCTCATCGGTGAGTCTCTCCCCTGTCTCTATTGGTAAACCTTTCATCACACACATTGATGGGTCTCCCTATGGTCTTTCATTTTCTCACTGAATCTTCATACTGTCCCCTGAGTGGATTTCCTTCCTGTTGCTATTGTCATCTGTCACAGAGGGTGCCCTTAATCCCCTTCCCATCTTCGCTCTAGCACAGCGCAACCCAACGTCACACCACTTCCTCATGTCCCTTCACATCATTTGATAAAATTAGCTCATTGTTCAGAGGAAACCAAGGAAACCAAGACTCATAGTTGCAGAAAACGCAATAGAGCGAGAGAATGAGCGTGTGAAAGAGATAAAGAAAGAGGAGGAAATTGTGTAGAGAAGATAAGTCTCCTTTATCTTCTGCTTCTGTGTGCTGAGGGACCCATCCTAGCTCAATCCATCACATTTCCCGTACTAGCACAGCTGTAGCAGATAGTCCACACAGCAACCAGCAAAATGCCAATTCATTTTGTCGCAAACAAAAATGGCTTGTTTGGACAGACGCCAGTAGAGGAATAATGCATTGAGGAAGCAAGAAATCACTGACTGCATCTATTTAGTTCACTACAAAGAGGAAGAAACCTAATTCGTCACGCTGCCTTTGGAAATACTCCATGACGTTTCCAGTGTTACATGTTGTTCAGAGAATTGGATGAAGATCTAGCTAGATTTTTTTTGCTAACAGTTGCAGTATGATAGGGATTCAACATTGCATGATGGTTTGGGGCAGTGAGAGGTGGAAACTCTTTCACCATGACCAGCCAATGACCAGCCAAGAGTGCTTATAGGTCATGGCTCTGTCACAGAGAATAACATGTCTATAGAAAACAGTATGGTAGATAAACTCTGTTCCTTTAAGTAATCTACTGTATTTCATCCCCCCTCCTTATAGGTACAGTGATGACGCCCAACTACCTGCGTTCTCCTAAGATCAGTGTTGTTCCCTACTGTGACTGCAGCAGCAGTGGTAATGGCAAGGAGGAGTGTGACAAGTTCACAGAGTTCTTCACAGACAACACCTGCCTCCGTGAGTGACTGACCAGCCTCCTCCTGTCCTCTCCTCTCATCTTCATTCTCTTACCATTTTCCTGTCTCCTCCACTCTTTCATTGTGGGTCTCCTGCCAATTATTCATCCCTCTCTCACATTCATCCTCCCTCTCTCCCAATTGATGCTCCATCTCCCCTGTGAGCTCTTTGACGATGGAGCAGAAAAGCAGAGATAGAGGAGGAAGAAACAGCGATAATGCATGCACACATTAATATATGTTTGTGTGTGTGAGTAAGGGGTTCCAATATCCGCATAGCTCTCCCAGATCAGCAACCAAGGCATTGTCTTCTAACTCTGTGACCATCCTTTCACATATCAGACAGCTTTAATTAACCTACCTCCTCTCCCTCCCTTTCCATCCTCTCCTCCTTTAATAAATACGGCTGCTTCACTATCACAAGGTGTCAGGCCTCTGGATATAGCAGATCCATGGCTGTGGTGCCTTTCTTTGTGCAATCACATCTCAACTTCCTCTGCTGTGTTATTAGTATGGCATTGTCTCTCAGCGCTTTATTTCCATCAAAGCCAGTAGGATCCAATATAGTCATGCTCTCACTGACCTTATGCGGGAGTTTGTTTTCACTGTATCATAGAGATAGAGTTGTATGAAAACATTTATTCTCAATGTGACAATGAGCACAACATAGCACTATCGCAAAAGATACATTTCTTTAGTGGAATTTCAGTGTCATTGAAGTCTTTTTGACACACTGCTATTTGGGTTTTAGTTTTAAGAAAGAAAGCCATTGAGATAGTCTATCTCAGGGATCATCAACTAGATGATATTGAGCAAGTAGCCTGGCAGATAGGAGCGTTGGGCCAGTAAAGGTTGCTGGATCGAATCCCCGAGCCGACAAGGTAAAAATCTGTTGTTCTGTCCGTGAGCAAGGCAGTTAACCCCCAACAACAACTGCTCCCTGGGCACCGATGATGTCGATTAAGGCAGCACCCCGCACCTCTCTGATTCAGGGGTTGGGTTAAATGCGGTAGACACATTTCAGTAGAATGCATTCAGTTGGACAACTGACTAGATTTCCCTTGTCAGGAGGCCAGAACATAATTAGAAATAATTTGTAGACTGCATATTGACCGCAATATATAATATTTGACTAAAACATAATTTAAAACATTGCTTACAATGGTTTATGATCTCATATATCTATCTATTATGCGTGGGAATACTTTGGAACAGATTGGTGTGTTTACAGTCTTTTATGTACAACAATTTAAAGAAAAAAAAATTAAAAATTGCTTCGAAAACTTGGGAGGCCAAATAAAATCACCCGCGGGACGCCAGTTGGGAACCCTGGTCTATCTAGACAGACAGGTTTCCTCCAACAATGTACAAATGTTCCAGCATACATGTACAGTGGGGGAAAAAAAGTATTTAGTCAGCCACCAATTGTGCAAGTTCTCCCACTTAAAAAGATGAGAGAGGCCTGTAATTTTCATCATAGGTACACGTCAACTATGACAGACAAAATTAGAAAAAAAATCCAGAAAATCACATTGTAGGATTTTTTATGAATTTATTTGCAAATTATGGTGGAAAATAAGTATTTGGTCAATAACAAAAGTTTCTCAATACTTTGTTATATACCCTTTGTTGGCAATGACACAGGTCAAACGTTCTCTGTAAGTCTTCATAAGGTTTTCACACACTGTTGCTGGTATTTTGGCCCATTCCTCCATGCAGATCTCCTCTAGAGCAGTGATGTTTTGGGGCTGTCACTGGGCAACACGGACTTTCAACTACCTCCAAAGATTTTCTATGGGGTTGAGATCTGGAGACTGGCTAGGCCACTCCAGGACCTTGAAATGCTTCTTACGAAGCCACTCCTTCGTTGCCCGGGCGGTGTGTTTGGGATCATTGTCATGCTGAAAGACCCAGCCACGTTTCATCTTCAATGCCCTTGCTGATGGAAGGAGGTTTTCACTCAAAATCTCACGATACATGGCCCCATTCATTCTTTCCTTTACACGGATCAGTCGTCCTGGTCCCTTTGCAGAAAAACAGCCCCAAAGCATGATGTTTCCACCCCCATGCTTCACAGTAGGTATGGTGTTCTTTGGATGCAACTCATCATTCTTTGTCCTCCAAACACGACGAGTTGAGTTTTTACCAAAAAGTTATATTTTGGTTTAATCTGACCATATGACATTCTCCCAATCCTCTTCTGGATCATCCAAATGCACTCTAGCAAACTTCAGATGGGCCTGGACATGTACTGGCTTAAGCAGGGGGACACGTCTGGCACTGCAGGATTTGAGTCCCTGGCGGCGTAGTGTGTTACTGATGGTAGGCTTTGTTACTTTGGTCCCAGCTCTCTGCAGGTCATTCACTAGGTCCCCCCGTGTGGTTCTGGGATTTTTGCTCACCGTTATTGTGATAATTTTGACCCCATGGGGTGAGATCTTGCGTGGAGCCCCAGATCGAGGGAGATTATCAGTGGTCTTGTATGTCTTCCATTTCCTAATAATTGCTCCCACAGTTGATTTCTTCAAACCAAGCTGCTTACCTATTGCAGATTCAGTCTTCCCAGCCTGGTGCAGGTCTACAATTTTGTTTCTGGTGTCCTTTGACAGCTCTTTGGTCTTGACCATAGTGGAGTTTGGAGTGTGACTGTTTGAGGTTGTGGACAGGTGTCTTTTATACTGATAACAAGTTCAAACAGGTGCCATTAATACAGGTAACGAGTGGAGGACAGAGGAGCCTCTTAAAGAAGAAGTTACAGGTCTGTGAGAGCCAGAAATCTTGCTTGTTTGTAGGTGACCAAATACTTATTTTCCACCATAATTTGCAAATAAATTCATAAAAAATCCTACAATGTGATTTTCTGGAATTTCTTTTCTCAATTTGTCTGTCATAGTTGACGTGTACCTATGATGAAAATTACAGGCCTCTCTCATCTTTTTAAGTGGGAGAACTTGCACAATTGGTGGCTGACTAAATACTTTTTTTCCCCACTGTATTTAATTAAACCAATGTCAGTTTGGCAGAGAGGAAAGGGTGGCGTTGGGAAAGCTGTCCACAGTAATATCTGTTCATGTCCTGCCATAAACATTTTTTGGGGGCTAGCTAAATGGTACTGCAGGAGGATATTTTCAATGAGTGTATTTCGTAAGTGAGTAGTTTGCTTGCGCCATGACGTCAGCGTTACATGCTTACAACCACTGACTGGCTGTGGCTAAAATTAGCCTAGCTATCTGCACATTACCCACATTAATTTACTATAGAAACTACAGTACTTACTATAGAATTCTGTAGTAAACTGTGGTATACTGTAGAACAGTGGTTCTCAAACCTCTCCCCTGCGACCCCAAACATTTCACAATTTTGTTTTAGCCCTGAACTAGCTCACCTGATTCATCTAATCAAGGGCTTGATGATTAGTAGACAAGTTCAATCAGGTGTGCTAGCTCTGGAATAGATCAAATACATGGAATGGCGGGGGTCCCCTAGTAGATGTTTGAGAACCACTGCTGTAGAATACAATACTACACACTGTAGTATCCCTCGATCATTTGTAGTACTTACTATAGAATTTTGTAGTATACTGTAGAATACTATATTAAATACTACAGTAATGTCCGCAAAAGCACTACAGTTTAACTATAGGAATACTTAATTTGCATATACCCTGCCCATTCCCCTCCCCTATATCCCAATTTGTGCCACCCATAAGTGAGAAACCTACATACATGCCAAGTATAAACCATATATTGTGTTCCCTGCAGGTTATAGAAAAAAGCTGACAGAAGCTTTCTGGTCAGACCTACCTACCTACCTACCTACAGGTTATGGAAAATTAGGTATTTCAGTTTTTGTCCAGCAGGTTTCCTCAAGGAGAAAGCAAAAACACTATGGTAAATGCTACATTAATTTCCACAAAAACACTACAGTAAATACTACAGTAAAGTCAGCAAAAACACTATAGTATTTTTTCATGTGGGTGTGTCCGCCGATGTCATGTTTCTGAGGGGATTATTTTTGTGCCCCGCCTACTCAAACTCATGATTTGTTAGGAGATTTGTCTGTCTGAAGGGCACCCTCACCGAAATTTTCTCCTGCCCCGAAAATACGACATAATTCCCAGACCATGGGCTCTTTTGACAGTGTCGGAGGTGGAACTGCGTTAGAGCTGTCAAATCCACAAGCGGCTCCAGCATTAAACCTAAAGCGGACATTGCCATTGGTTGCACAAAGTATCACTGAGAGAGATCCCATGCAGCCTTGTTTACAAGTTCGAACACTGGAATGTGAGATGTAATCTACACCTCGATTAGGCTGATAGAAATCCTCATTATTTTGTTAAATGATTTTCCATTTGAAAACATCAGCTATCATTGGCTATCACCGGTTAGCACTTGATCTGAATGAATCTAGGCCCTAGTGCTGTTGCCCTACACTGTAAAAAATGACTGTTTGGATCAACCGAAACAAATTACTTCAACTGGTTACAAGTAAATGAGTTAGGTTTTCTCAATAAAACAAATACTACACTTGTTGAAATATATGATTCCCTATCCAAATTTCTTCAATTGGGTTACAAGCGATTAATTAAATTCCCTGTAAAACAAGAAAAGTTGGGTCAAGAACTTGAAATTATGTTTCCAAAATATTCTTTACACTAGACATTCACATCTACTAGTTATACTATCACAACCAAGCATTGGCTACTGTATGTGAGATGTGAGACTATTTTGCAACTATCAATACATATGCTGGCAGTGTACAGTTTTCAATTTGAATAGCAGCTACAACAGACCAGATTAACTGGAATGACATTCACTCTCACGGGTCAACAAAAAGAACAAACTGAAAGCCACACCCCCAATAAGCCACACCTCCAACTATTCTGATGCATGAGGTGTTGAACGCAATTTAGGGCTCTATTCAATCTGCATCGCTGAAGAGTTATGATCCCCTGCTGATTTTGTACATTTGCCCACTGACAAAGACATGATCAGTCTATAATTTTCGTGGTAGGTTTATTTGAACATTGAGAGACAGAATAACAAACAAAAAAATCCAGAAAAACGCATGTAAAAAATGTTATATATTGATTTGCATTTTAATGAGGGAAATAAGTATTTGACCCCTCTGCAAAACATGACTGGGATTTCCGAAAACTACCACTGAGAGGTCAAGCTACTGTGGTTATTAGGGGTGTTTTGCTCAGTCACTACATGTCTCTGGGCTCCTCAAGACATCCACGAAGAGCCTGTGAAGTTTGTCCAGATTAAACTGTGTCCATCTCTCCCTCTATGCCATTTAAAATGTACATTTCGTCATTTAGTAGACACTTATACAGAGGGACTTACAGTTAGTGCATTAATCTTAAGGTAGCTAGGTAAGACGACTACATATCACAGTCATAGTAAGTAACACTTTTCCTAAAAAAAGCAGCTATCAGCAAAGTCAGTGCAAGTAAGAAAAGAGAAGTGCAAGTGTTGAGCATAGACTGAAGGTAAGGAGGGTCAGTTCTGGGAGCCAGTGGAGAGTGCAAAGGAACGGGGTGACATGTTTCGAACTTGGGAAGGTTGAACACCAGACTTGCTATGGCGTTCTGGATAAGTTTCAGGGGTTTGATGGCACAAGCAGAGAGCCTAGCCTCTGATTCCCTCAAAGATGCCAAGGCATGGCTGAGCCCTCTCCGTCTCTCTCTCTCTCTCTCTCTCTCTCTCTCTCTCTCTCTCTCTCTCTCTCTCTCTCTCTCTCTCTCTCTCTCTCTCTCTCTCTCTCTCTCCCTCTCTCCCTCTCTCTCTCCCCCTCTCTCAATTCAATAGACTTCATTGACATGGCAAGTTAAATGACTAACAACAGCCAAAGTACACATATAACAACAATGATTGGACTAACAGAAATAAATGACATTAGGCATGCATTACAGTGTTGTTACATCACCAAAAAGGAGGAAGCGAGTGAAGAGAAGTAAAGAGTAACTTCTGCTAAATGGCATATACAGTATAGAGTTATTGGTGGTCCATTTGCCGGTAGCAGTGGCATTGTGACAAAGAACATCCCAACAGAGATGTCACACTGAGTAACCGGCAGAATGATCACCAATCCATAAGTTCCCTGGGGGCGTCCTCCCTCTGTGCCCCTGAGAAATCACTTAGGAGAGCAGCAATGACGCTATTCTTCTGGCCAACAGCATGAATGGACCTCCAGCGGGCACATTGGCATGGTTCCTTTATGCCACCTCTAAGCACTCACTCCTAGTTCAAAAGAACAGAGATCAGCTTTTGTTACCGCTCTCCTATAAAAACCATCTCTCTTTAAAGAGAGGGGAAGATTGACTGAACTACTCCCTTTAACTGTGTCCTTCAATAGTAAATCCAATCCTTATACTGATTGATTACATATTTGTTCAATATGACTACGCAAAGTAAACCCAAGAACTCTGACTATTGCAATAAAGTCAATGTTAATCATGAACTACTTGAATGTGGTGTTACCTCACCTGGGCCTATTTGTTTGGCTCAACAGAGGGCCACTGTACACTAATGCCTCAGTCTGTCAGTGTTTAGGCTGATGCAAATGTGATATGATATCATGTTTACCCATTTGCTGTTTGCACTTGTTGAAGGTCAGGTAAATTACGTTTTCCTGTCAGGGAAACGATTAAGTAGCAGATTCTGCAGATTCGGGGCTGTTTGCACACAGTGTGATATTCCCTGTGTTTAAACATGGGCTCTATCTACTCTCTCCCTTTGGTAAGGCAAACACTACATTCCTGTGCAGCTGGAACAGCCTGCCTGGCCTACCTGTGTGCCTGGAGTCTAACATTGCTTAGACATGGTGTTTGCGGAGTAAAGGCCCAGTATTCAACCCCACTCTCATCTGTCAGCAAGAACAGGACACAGTTTCTATGTGTCCAGTTTGTTGTCAATGCCTGTAGGAATACACTCATCCTATTAGGGGTGTATACGGTATGTATTCTCAGGGGCTTGACTGGCAGGTTATACATGTCAGTATTTCTCAACTGCTGCTGATTGCTTCAGCAGGGTTCCTCAAACTCCATTGAAACCTCTGACATTGAGCTAGAGCTAAATGGGAGCTAAACTCATGTTTCACAGCACAAGCTTTATGCCTAAATACGAGCCCAAACAAGAGAAGCACCTCATCAGCCATGACAGACAACACAGTCTAATGCTGTGTCTCTAATTAGACTTTGTTGGAGAACAAAGCTCCGTAAAAGACCATATCAACAAATTCAATATGCTCATCAGGCCGCTGCTGTGCTAGCACAAAGCATTAGGGCACTAGGATAGGCTCAGTGGCACACCCGCTTTCTTCACAGCAAGATAATGAAATCAGCTCTAATTTATTCGCTCACAGCCAGCCTTTGAGAGGTGTGGCGGTGCCGGAGAACTTTACAGCCCTAGAAGATTCCAGCCTAAATGAGCTGACAAGTATAAAAAAAATATTTAAAAAAAGTAGGAAAAGTGGTGCATAACTCTGGTCCATCTATCTTCAGCTCTCTCTGTCTGCTTCACTTCAAAGATAGACCAGGTGCATTGTGTGCACACTAATGGATTGGGTAAATAGCCTCATCATCACTTTGTTATTATTATTATGGCCCTAGCTAACATATTCATATCCCTCAGCTCAGCCAAACTAAAGCACACTCACTAGAGTTGTATATTATAAATGAGTTTTTCCCCCAGAGTAATTCCATATAATTTGATTGTTCTCTCCCACCTATTCCATAGTATTTGGGAAAGATTGCTTAATAATGGATAGTGTTTTACTCCAGTAATGGCTTTATGAAAACCTTTTTGTTTTGGACTTAGATGTAGTCTCTTTCTCTCACACATACACCGGTGAAGAGCAGGACCATCCTCCACAGTGAATTTCATAAAAATATAAATAGTGAAACGTTAAAAAAGTTATCATTTTTAGATTAAACTATTCTAAATATATTCACATGTCACCAAATAATTGATTAAAACACACTGTTTTGCAATGAAGGTCTACAGTAGCCTCAACAGCACTCTGTAGGGTAGCACCATGGTGTAGCCGGAGGACAGCTAGTTTCCGTTCTCCTCTTGGCACATTGACTTAAATACAAAACCTAGGATGCTCGTGGTATTGTGTGTAGGCCAGTCGCACATTAACTCAATTTAATACATTTTCAATTCAGGCTGTAACACAACAAAATGTGGAAAAATGAATACTTTCTCTCTCAATCTCTTCTCCCAATGCAACATTGACGTAGTAGTCTAACACAGAGTCTGGTCTCTCTGTAGGCAATGCCATCCAGGCGTTTGGGAACGGGACAGACGTGGGAGTGTGGCAGCCCATGCCTCCGGTGCAGACCACCACCTCCACCACCACTCCTTCCCAGAAGGCTAAGGACCGCTCCCCCAACTCACTGGATGCCACCACAAACACCAACCATCTCAACGCAGGAGACGAGTCCCTCTACCACTTCTGTGGCAGCTTGCAGGTGAGGGCTCCAGTAGCTATGACACACAGCAAAAAATGATTTCATGCCCCATGGACCTCCTGTCCTGGGGGCCTACGGCCCAGCATCTAATCTTAGGAAACTATTTTAAGAAGGCACTGGCTTAATTTAAGCATTATTGATTTTAATTTTAGGTTGCAGGGAGGTTCTGAGAAAGTTTTACTCTGGTTCCTTGAAAGTTTTCCTGGGAGGTTCTATCAACGCTCTGAGAATGGAAATTATAGGTTATTTTGAGGTTTTTTAATAACTTCCTTAAAACTTTCACTGAATGTTTCAATAAAACTTTTAATAACACTGCTAGCTTATTTTGGGTTAACTTTTTTGAACTCCAAGGACAGATAGGATACACGGAAATGAATTTCCTTAGGCATTAATCATGCAAACACATTTATTTTTTATTGTGACACGGCATCAGTGAGATTCAAACCTATAATCTTCTGTTCTCCATGGAATTATTCCACTTCGCCACCAGGATGGAGCTAGCATGCCATGTTTATTTACGCATACAAAGCTGTTCATTTTAGTTTATTCAAACAGACCTCATTTAGAAGGAAATCATTTATTAAGATCAGGTGTGGCCAATTAGTGGGCGAGGCCAACACACCTGAACACACTTAACGAGATAGAGGATAGAGAGGTTTGTTGATGCTGAGAACGGAATGTATATGTTTTTAAATAACATTCTTAGAACGTTCTCTGAACGTTACTAAAGTTTTCTTGTGCTTTTTATGGAAAGTTTTCTTATGGAAAGTTCTCGGAACAATTTGAGAACATGACTTGAAATAGAATCATGAGGAAACCTATAGGAAACGTTATGCTGAAGTACTGAAATTTACACAAAAGAACGTTGTTTCTTCACGTTCTTGGAACAATTTGAGAATTTGAATTAGCAATATGGAGTGGGAAAGCAGCCATGCGTTTTGACAATTAATAGACACTGCAGTACATAAAACCTAATAAAAACATCTATATTGTCCAGGACCGGAGTCTATGCAGACCGGTGCGCCATCGCCAATCAGAGCTACAGTAGGCCTATATGCAAATAAGCCAATTGCCACACGGGCCTGCCATCATTCACTTTGAACTGGACTGTGTGTTTACAGGCAGTAGCAACAATGCGGCTTTAGATCATTAGAACACATTCACCAAAAGCCACAAAATAAACCTGTATGGATTTCTGCAAATATGTAAATACCACGGGAGTCCTCTTACATTTGGGAACTTCACAGTCTTATTGATCAAACAACCATGCAAAGGTAGGCTCTCTCTCCCTCAGTTGCCTATGCACATCAACAACAACGAGATCAACAACTAATGCTAGCCAGAGTGAGATGAGCAAAAATCTAACGAGGGAACATTAGATAAATCCTCTCAAAAGTTTTCAGCTAGTTCGCCGTCAAAATTGCACTGATCAACGATGGGGAATAGTAGCCTGCTCGTCCTTCTGCAGCTTGCCTGCCAATGCATGCTTTTCCCAACCTATGTTTTGATAACTGAATGGGAACTTGCCTGCCTGCCCATTTATTTGATCGATGCCAATTACATTTGATTGACAACTAAGAGATATGCTAACTGTGGATAACAGTCCTTCAAGTTCAGCATAGCTAATGTAGTGTATTGAAGATTATGATGGGGCTAAATGTTTTTCATGACGAAATGGAATGTTGGTTGTTCAGGCAAGAGGGGGGATGTTTTATGATGTTATTTGAAATGTGCCGCTTGGAGGGTGACGCCCGAGGGGAGACTGGTGATTGGCCAGAAGAGGGGGTAACCCTTATTTTGGTATTGTCTATATAAGAAGGGTTTTAGACAATAAACCCCAGAGCAGCCATTAGAATTGGGGGACACTGCTCTCCAGACCTCGCGAGTCTGTCACCCCTGCTGAAGCTTGTGATCTGAATAAACCTTATGATCAATGTTCAGTATGAGCAGACTCCTTTTTGTTGACAGCAATAATTGCCACCATTCATCATATACGACACTAGCTAGAAAAGCGATTCACCGCTGTAGCCACCAAAAAACGATATGAGGGGAAAAAGTCGGTCACTCACCCACTCCTCCAATGACATGACATCCTCCCAGCAGCTAGTTAGCCAGCTAACATTAGGCGCCATGTTTTTAGCTTGCTAAATAAATAGCTAGCTACATAAATAGATACGCTAGCCCAGGGGTGTCAAACTCAATCAGCGCACGACGCACATATTTGAAAAACACATAGCCTATTTGTTTTTACCAAAAAAAAACTTTGACCCAAACTGGCCATTGTTTTATTAGAAAAAATATGGTCCTATATAATGTCCACTTATGTACATAGGATGCTGCATATAGCATTTTTACATATTATGTATTGTAGTTGAATAGCCTAGGCTACTGCTCAAATGTTGCTGTAATAGGCCTACATGTTTCTCCTTTGCATTGTGTTTTGTTGCAGGTTTTTGGGGGGGTTATTCATTGTCAAGCTTTAAAAACCGAAGCCAGACTGTAACATTTTAGTAGCCTAGCTAGGACTGTGGCATGTGTCTGTACACTTTCCCTCCACTGCGCGCTGTAAATGGGACCCAGGAAAGCAGCACAATTGAGGTTGAGTCACCGATGCGAGCATGGTAATTTCAAGTAGATGACTCAACTGTTGACTCATTTATACTCATTTGTGTGTGTCATATTCGGCCGCAGGGCTTGTTTGACACATGTCCGCTAGCCTATTAGCCACATTATGACTGACTTGTGATCATTGCCCTAGCTAATTTGATTGTATTGACATTCCCAGCCTTAGTTACAGTCATCCTTTTTTTTTATTCAAAATATTGAGTAATTGAAACTGAAACAGTGCGTCCCGAATGGGTGGTTATGCTGAAGTACTGACATTTCCACAGAAGAAAGTTGTTTCTTAATGTTCTCTGAACTATTTGACAACATTCCCAATGTCAAACCAGTTGGAGAACATTCCAAGAACATTAATAAAATAATGAAATACCAAGAAAATAAAGTTATTTTGTCAAGTTCCTTAAATGTGCTGAGCCAAGCAACTATCCTGCACCATTCCCAGAAAGTTCTGGGAAGGTTGCATGCAAAATAACCACAGGACAACCACGCTCTCACCCTGCTCTGAGAAACATCTGGTTCTAAGAACATTATGTGCTAGCTGGGTAGTACTTTTGAGACCCGATACTGCTTTTTTTCAGCAGAGCCTGCATTAACTTGTAAAGGACTAACAGTTTATTAGGAGTCTGAGGCACATATATTGAGTTGTTATCCTGGCCTATTAGTGGTGTAGCAAGACACTGAGTGGAGTCATTCTCATAGCTAGACACTGTCCTTCAGTCAGTCAGCACATCCTGCTACACACTGCAGCTCAAACACTCACTCCAATAGCAGACACACTAGATATACTCCATCACACACACAGCATAAACACACTCTAGCGCCCTAGAGAATCACACACCAGTGTGCAGGCTTCATTCACCTCTGTAATAAAGTCACGGTGGTGTCACCGACAGGGTGACGTGTGGTCTGATCTAAATGTCACCTACTGCCACCCAGCTCCCATTAACACGGATGACCGCCAGCCTGACCGACAGCCAGCCGACCCCTCGCCTGATGAGGTCCTGCATCCCTGGCTGCTCTGCCTGCACCATTTGAAAGGGCATTCATATGCTAATAGGACAGATTAGGATATATTACCCAGATTGATCTGGATGGGAGATAAATAGTGTGCAGGCCCAGGGGTGGAGCGGGAGTTATCTCTGTGATGATGACAGGGTGTCTCCTGGCGTAGATGACCTGCTGGAGATGGATCTTACATTTACATCAGGGGACAGAGACTGGTGCTGTATCAGAGCTCACTGTTAGGATGGTTGATGGTTATTAAGATGAACATCTAAGATTGTAACTCGATCAATGTGAATTGTTGTCTTTCTGTTCAAAATACAAAAGGCTTCAACAAAGCAAATCCAGTTGTATATCAGCAATGTGATGTAACTGACACTAATGTTCAGATTTGGGATGCTCACAGTATTATGTCCGTCCAGGGTCCTGTCTTAGATACACACATTCTCTAATCAGATGAAAGCGCTCACTTTGCAAGGACACACACATCACACAACATACAAGTGCAGGAGGCAATCATCCTTCCCACACACATGCGCATGCAAAACTATTGTATGGTTTAGCAAACCTTTATTTGTCTCACATCACACACACCGCAAACACACAAACACACACTACACACACACACACACTAAGCTGATAATGAGGCTGGTGTATTGGCGAGTTAGTGCTGTTGGCGCTGTACACGTGGCGTGTCAAGCTGAAGTTAATGAGAGTGTGTGTTCCTGTATTAGCCCTGTTTGCTCTGAAGCTTGTGTTGAGCAGGAACGGCTGTCTGAGGCAGACAAGCTCTTTCTAATCACATACTCAGGGGACGGGCCTGTCAGAACAGTCACTCCTCTCTCCTCATCGATTACAAACCCTCTATGCTGGCACTGGCAGACAGCTGTAGCACTGTGCAAAACCAATGACTCAGGACCCCACTAGACTTCTAGCCAAAATACAACTTTGTAACTTCCCATGTAAGGAGCTCTATACGTAAACAGCTTGAAATATGTGCTTTTTTATCTTTCATTTTGTTAATTTTCGCAAATCAAATTTAGTTCTACTGTGTATTCCTCAAACTGCCAGGAAGTATTTTTTCTTTGTGACCGTAAGCTTCAAACTGAATTAGGAAGGATTCTCTTTGTCTTGTATCCGGTGAGAGCGATTTGCCTCTCTTTGTGTGGATTGAAAGTGGCGCAGGCAGAAATGCCTTTTGTCCCACGTCAGAGATTCAACAAAGTCAGATGACTCCCAGCGTATCTCAGCACCAGGAACAATAGCAAGGAGAGTCTGTTGTGTTGCTGCTGAGCCCAGCAGGGCCTGTAACGCTCCCCAACCTGGGCCTGACAGTTAAGAGCAGCAAAACAGATTATTCACTGTGAACCCCAGAGGTGATTCAATTTTACTTATGAATAGTTCACTCAAACAAAAATTGCTTAGCTGCCCTTAGACAAGTCTGTATCAAACAAATTCAAACAGCATTTCTGCATCAACATCATCAGTGGGTGAAACTGGTTATAAAGACGTCTTTTGTAACGTCATGGTCAGGTTGTATTTACGGTATTTGGTATTTTATTACGATCCCCAAAGCAGCAGCTACTCTTCCTGGGATCCACACAAAACATGAAACATGACAAAGTACAGAACATTAATAGACAAGAACAGCTCAACGACAGAACTACATAAATTGTAATAGAACATTTTTTACTTGTAATCTGGTTACAGGTTATTGGTATTCAACACCCTACACATACATATGCATGTACTCATAAAGGATGCAGGTCTGATTCTCCTCCATTCCCCATGAAATCCCGTAGATAATGCATGGTGATATATGAAACAATAACCGCATGCCCAGTCAAGCTGACTGATGGTTTAGGCAAGCGGGAGAGAAATTAATTGTGGGACAGCTCTGGATTCCATTCAGTGGGCATTGACAAACATCTCTAATTTCCCTCTGCTGTGTCCCATCCAGCTCCCACTAGAGCCAAATCCACACACCCTCACACTATCTTCTACATTCCCACATTACACTGATCAGGACTAGTTATCAGTCTAACTTGATTTGCCCAGTTGGTTGGTCGTAATGTGTTTTCTTCACAAAGTACATATTACTCCACATAAACATTTACATTACATTTACATTTTAGTCATTTAGCAGACGCTCTTATCCAGAGCGACTTACAGTAGGTGAGTGCATACATTTTCATACTGGCTCCCCCGTGGGAAACGAACCCACAACCCTGGCGTTGGAGTGTGATCCACTCCAAACTGTCAATGCATAAAATCAAAATTGTGTGGACATTGCAAGAAAATATTGTCATTTCACATAACCATACCACAAGGTAACTACTCTACCTGCTTCATTCATGACAAGAAAACTAACGGAAACAAGCTAGCCAATGTGCTAGTTAGCTAACTAGCTAAGTTAGTTAGCTAGATAGCTTATATTAACCAGCAATACAAATAGTCCAGACTCGCTGAATTATTACATTATCATGCCTGCCCTGTACCATATTCCCCATGTCTCTGGGGGTAATACTTGTAGTGCCATAAACCAGCCTCCAATTTCATTTATACTGAACAAAATATAAACGCAACATATAAAGCTTTCTTCCCATGTTTCATGAGCTGAAATAAAAGATCCCAGAAATTTTCCATATGCACAAAAAGCTTTTTTCTCTCAAATTGTGTGCACAATTTTGTTTACATCCTTGTTAGTGAGCATTTCTCCTTTGCCAAGATAATCCATCCACCTGACAGATGTGGCATATCAAGAAGCTGATTAAACAGCATGATCATTACACCGGTGCAACTTGTGCTGGGGACAATAAAAGGCCACTCTAAAATGTGCAGTTTTGTCACACAACACAATGCAACAGATGTCTAAAGTTTTGAGGGAGCGTGCAATTGGCATGCTGACTGCAGGAATGTCCACCAGAGCTGTTACCAGAGAACTGAATGTTCATTTCTCTACCATAAACCGCCTCCAACGTCATTTTAGAGAATTTGGCAGTACATCCAACTGGCCTCACAACAGCAGACCACGTGTAACCACGCCAGCACAGGACCTCCACATCCAGCTTCTTCACCTGCGGGATCGTCTGAGACCAGCCACCGGACAGCTGATGAAACTGAGGAGTATTTCTGTCTGTAATAAAGCCCTTTTGTGGGGGAATATTCCGTCTGATTGGCTGGTCCTTGCTCCCCAGTGGGTGGGCCTAGGCCCTCCTAGGCCCACCCATGGCAGCACACCTGCCCAGTCATGTGAAATCCATAGATTAGGGCCTAATTTATTTATTTCAACTGACTGATTTCCTTATATGAACTGTAACTCAATAAAATCGTTGAAATTGTTGCATGTTGCGTTTATATTTTTGTTCAGTATATTATACTGTCAGACCTACATCCCCACAACACACACACAGGCAAACACACACACACACAGTTTTCTCTAGCTCCCACTAAATGGAAAACGACAAGTAATTTAAAGCATGAGAGCGACTGGCTCACATAGGGCACTGAACGCAACCCTCTCATGTAGATCCTCACTTCTGTTTCACTGTTGACAACAGCAGTTTCCCTTCAAGGTCTTTGTCCACTTGAGGCCCTGCAAATACCAGATGACTGGCCTCATCATACGACATTACCTAGAGCAGCCTTGCTCTTGTTCAAGGCACATATAAATAAAAGGATTTAGAAGTGGAAAAGCACTGAGATTTAACTGTGACCGGAGACGTTTCCTCATACAACCTGGTCCGGGAAGTGCAGACTTTTCCCGTCACTTTCCAGTCATCTGTAACAACTGAATCAAAATACTGTAAGAGGACCAACGGCGACATGTATTTCAGTAGAAAATGGTCCTGTATGGCTCAGTTGGTAAAGGATGGCGCTTGCAATGCCAGGATTGTGGGTTTGATTCCCAGGGCCACTCATTCGAAAAACATATGCACACATGACTAAGTCACTTTGGACAAAAGCTCCTGCTAAATGGCATATATATTATCCAAAGCAACAAATCACTGATGTTGAGCACTACCCATGGTCCATCACTGTTCACAACCACTTAGACGAGCGCATACATTCATACTACACACAGTATGGTGGTTTTGACCATATCACTCTTGGTTTTACAGGCTCAGAAACTGAAGTCCAACATCTCAATCGATGGTGTGCTTTGCGTGGTAAGTGGAGAGCATAGTTTGATTATCCTGATTAACCTTGTTTGAGAAAAAAATATGAATCTAACTTTAAGCCATAACTATCAACTAACAATTCATCATGACTAAGGCCATGAGGTTTTCCTGACCATATGACCTAACCAGAAAAATGTGAGTGGGTCCTAGCTAATCAGTCATGATCTATGTAAAACTATGTATGAACAGTAGTGTAGATTTTCAATTAAGAGGAAAGACTATGGTAATTACTACTCAGACCCTAACCTCATGACACAGACCCACAGAAAGAAGTCAAGGCGACCCCTTCTGTACACATGCTCATGGTCTTTGTAGTCTGCTGGGCTGAAATGTGAGCATTGCTTATCTAGTGCTTTTCAAAGTTCAGTAAATGTCATTGTACATAATAAAGCAGCATTATTCCATGGAGTGACATTTAAGGAGGCAGTGGCAGGTCCAAACAGCCTGAGAAGAGATGACCCCTTTTCAGCGCAGCAATTCATTAGCGCGTCAAAGAGCTTTTCATCTCATCTCCAAAGTAGCACATGGATATGATAGAGCCACCCTGGCATTTTAGTTCTCAAAACAAAATTATTTTTTTAACTTTCCAGTCTAGTCTGCCAATTTAATCACACATTTTGTGGTGTTATTAAGACTTTCTTATTTGATTTGGATTATGTCACCGTTCTTTAATTGAAAATGTGTAGCCCCAAGAGATCATACATTTACATTTTAGTCATTTAGCAGACGCTCTTATCCAGAGCGACTTACAGTTAGCACATACATTATTTTATCGAACCCACAACCCTGGCGTTGCAAACGCCATGCTCTACCAACTGAGCTACATCCCCTGCCGGCCATTCCCTCCCCTACCCTGGACGACGCTGGGCCAATTGTGCGCCGCCCCATGGGTCTCCCGGTCGCGGCCGGCTACGACAGAGCCTGGATTCGAACCAGGATCTCTAGTAGCACAGCTAGCACTGCGATGCAGTGCCTTAGACCACTGCGCCATGAATGTGGACACTTTAAATGCAGGTTTTAGATGCAACCAGGGACAAACTGATCATTATGATTTGTCAAATTGCTTCAATTCTCTGTCTCTCCCTCCACAGGACCCACAGATCAACGACCCCGGTATATCCAACTCCATCTCCAGGAATTCAGCCGGGCTGCCGTCATGTCAGGCACACCTGTACTCACTGCTGCTCCTGCTGGCCGTGCTGCTACACTGCACTCTGGCGGCGCTCTACCCCGCGACAGTCTTGTAGCCATGCTACCTTTCCAAAACATGGACAGACTCAATTTGTATAAAGAAGAAATTATATTCTCTGTTCCCAGTATACATGTTGTATTTTTTTTTCCCTTCTCTCTGATTCCTTTTTTAATTCTAGTTTAAAGAAACATTACGTTGAAGTGTGCTAAAGTGATCTCAGTGTAACTCAGTTTTGCTCTGTTTTCTCTTGTTTCTGTTTTATGAAGGGAAAAGCTTCTATTTCGGTCACTGGGCGATCATGAAAATGCATTGCTACATTCCAATACACAATGGCTGGTGGCTTTTGGGCAGTTCCTGGTACGAGTCCTTCACATGGGATCTAATGTATTAATAATGGTATTGTCATTAAGCAGGCGCTTTTATCCAAGTGAGTTTGTGTGTTGAGGCTGAGGTCTTTGAAGCATAAAGTCCCCATCACTTTGATCGCAATGGTTTACATGAGGTAGGCAGCTTTTTAGGTGTCAATATATCTCATCTGTGGCGTGCGTGTGTGTTTTGATATGGTGTCTGCCATCCTTTCACATTTGAGAAGAAAGAATTTGAAGATGTGGATGTGGATGGAGCTATGAGGGCCCAGAGCTCAGACAGTATAGATGGCTAGACCACAATGAAGTCTTGGCTTTAGAACCTTTGATCTAAAATGGCTACAGAACTCCTTATTCTGTTGGGTGCCACGTTTGTGTCACCAACTCAGCCCGCTGCAGCAAAACACACATATTAAGAGCTCACTTAAACATTGTAGCTCAGGCAACGCACGCATGCAAAAAGCACATGCGCAAAGACCAGCACACACATACAGTACACACTCACACCCACATGTAAAGGCTGGTTTCTCCCTAACATGTACATTAAGCTATTTGACTGAAGGTTTGGGTGATATGGTGATTGTACATTGTGGAATTTGACATTCTTTTGGTCTTTCAAAGCAGTCTGACATACAGTTGAAGTCGGAAGTTTACATACACTTAGGTTGGAGTCATTAAAACTCGTTTTTCAACCACTCCACTAATTACCTGTGGATGTATTTCAATGCCTACCTTCAAACTCAGTGCCTCTTTGCTTGACATCATGGGAAAATCAAAAGAAATTAGCCAAGACCTCAGAAAATAAAATGTAGACCTCCACAAGTCTGGTTCATCCTTGGGAGCAATTTCCAAATGCCTGAAGGTACCACGTTCATCTGTACAAACAATAGTACGCAAGTATAAACACCATGGGACCACGCAGCCGTCATACTGCTCAGGAAGGAGACGCGTTCTGTCTCCTAGAGATGAACATACTTTGGTGCGAAAAGTGCAAATCAATCCCAGAACAACAGCAAAGGACCTTGTGAAGATGCTGGAGGAAACAGGTACAAAAGTATCTATATCCACAGTAAAACGAGTCCTATATCGACATAACCGGAAAGGTCGCTCAGCAAGGAAGAAGCCACTGCTCCAAAACCGCCATAAAAAATCTTACTTTTTGGAGAAATGTCCTCTGGTCTGATGAAACAAAAATAGAACTGTTTGGCCATAATGACCATCGTTATGTTTGGAGGAAAAAGGGGGTTGCTTGCAAGCCGAAGAACACATTTTTACATTACATTTTAGTCATTTAGCAGACGCTCTTATCCAGAGCGACTTACAGTTAGTGAGTGCATACATTATTTTATTTTTCATACTGGCCCCCCATGGGAAATGAACCCACAACCCTGGCGTTGCAAACACCATGCTCTACATCCCTGTCGGCCATTCCCTCCCCTACCCTGGACGACGCTGGGCCAATTATGCGCCGCCCCATGGGGGGCCATCCCAACCGTGAAGCACGGGGGTGGCAGCATCATGCTGTGGGGGTGCTTTGCTGCAAGAGGGACTGGTGCACTTCACAAAATAGATGGCATCATGAGGAAGGAAAATGATGTGGATATATTGAAGCAACATCTCAAGACATCAGTCAGGAAGTTAAAGCTTGGTTGCAAATGGGTCTTCCAAATGAACAATGACCCCAAGCATACTTCCAAAGTTGTGGCAAAATGGCTTAAGGACAACAAAGTCAAGGTATTGGAGTGGCCATCACAAAGCCCTGACCTCAATTGTATAGAACATTTGTGGGCAGAATTGAAAAAGCGTGTGCGAGCAAGGAGGCCTACAACCCTGACTCAGTTACACCAGCTCTGTCAGGAGGAATGGGCCAAAATTCACCCAACTTATTGTGGGAAGCTTGTGGAAGGCTACCCGAAACGTTTGACCCAAGTTAAACAATTTAAAGGCAATGCTACCAAATGCAAATTTAGTGTATGTAAACTTCTGACCAACTGGGAATGTGATGAAAGAAATAAAAGCTGAAATAAATCATTCTCACATTTCACATTCTTAAAATAAAGTGGTGATCCTAACTGACCTAAGACAGGGAATTTTTGCAAGGAATAAATGTCAAGAATTGTGAAAAACTGAGTTTAAATGTATTTGGCTAAGGTGTATGTAAACTTCCGACTTCAACTGTATTTTCTCTATACTGGATGAAAAGGGGGAATGGATGTAGGGTTTCTGGTAGACAGATAATACATTCCTACCTGAATGAGTTTGTGAGCACTGTACTCTAACTGCTCTGTAAGCATCGTAAAGAGCTGTGGTGCTCTTGGCAACAGCCATACAGATGATGACTTTAAGAATTGTATCAGCTCACGAGAGATTGATTCTCATAATCAATGCTTTATTGTGTACACTGTAATTACACACAATCATTCAACAGACTAGCATACTTCTGCTCAGTGTATTGTCATATTGCCTTCACAATAAAACTGTCAAACTTATTGGAGCGAAGACTTATAAATAATATACGATTAGCATCTGAGTCCAGCTGACGCAGAACATGTGACTCTTGTATGTATATTGTAGCATTTTGTATGTTTCCTGAGAATCGCTGAGAAAATATCAACCTTGTAACATAATCATATTTAACTCTCAAATGAAATGTGCAAGTAAAAAGATACATTTGAAGTAATAATTTGCTCATGTGGACCACCCAACACACAGTCACCTCACACTTACATGTGGCATGTGCAGCAAATTACTTTAGCCTTTGGACATTTTAAAGCATTTATGACATGCTGCTTGGGCTCGTGTGGCTTTTCAAAAAATAATGTATATGACATGTTATTTACTGGGCATTAATAATAATAATAAAAATGATATATGTATGTACTTGATTGAAACAGTAATTGGACTAGAAATGTCTGATTATATCTTCTGTTCAGGAACATTGTGAGCAATTTTATCAGATTCAGATTCCCTATAAAATACATCAAATTAAACAATAGCATTTTTGTTTTACAACAAGCTTCGTATTTGCCCCAATACGTATAAATTAACTAATGAAAATGAAGATATCAACGTAGCTCTCCTATTGTATTTCCTGAGCAAACAAATATTCTACCAATTTTATGAGATTCAGATTCCCTATAAAATGCATCAAATTAAACAATGGCATTTTTGTTTCACAACAAGCTACGTATTTTCCCCAATACGTATGAAGGAACTAATATAAATGAAGATATCAATGTAGCTCTCCTATTGTATTTCCTGAGCAAACAAATATTCTACCATAGTTCCATTTATGCTGTTGCCTAAATATGATATTGTTTTTTGGTAAATACCTTGATATTTTTCTATCTTTTACTATTTTGGCCTTAATTTATTAAACTGGTACATCCGGCACAAGTAAGGAGCATATAGGACCGTACACATAGGTTAAAGTTCAAAATATCGCATGGGTGATAGGAAATGCAATAAAGGATATAGACTATCATTTGATCTATGGGGTCCGAGGCAGCTGGGTGGTTAAACGCATTGGTATCTGCAGTTGGATTGCTGATATTTCACAGAGATGTGTTGGAATCTGTGGGTGAGGGAGAATAACGAGCAGGGGCAGGTGAAGACATAAAATACCCCAAGAGTATTTGTATTCATCTGCATCACATTGGTTGTTTAACTTGAAGAAAACTAACTGCAATGTTTATAATGATTGGAAACAGAGAATCCCTCAGCTATCCACGTTACTTTTTAGCTTGTGAAAATATACAATCTATTGTATAAAATGATAATTAAAATGTTGACTCATCCAACAGTGAGGTTGTTTTTTTATTTATTAGGGGATTGTTTTGTGGCCTGTTATAACCCTGTTTTGCTGGCTGTATGAGAGAGAGAGAGAGAGAGAGAGAGAGAGAGAGAGAGAGAGAGAGAGAGAGAGAGAGAGAGAGAGAGAGAGAGAGAGAGAGAGAGAGAGAGAGAGAGAGAGAGAGAGAGAGAGAGAGAGAGAGAGAGAGAGAGAGAGAGAGAGAGAGAGAGCAAGAGAGAGAGAGAGCAAGAGAGAGACAGAGCAAGAGAGAGACAGAGAGAGAGAGCAAGAGAGAGAGAGAGAGAGAGAGGCATACACAGAGACAGTAAGAGAGAGAAACATAGGCTGCATTTACACAGGCAGCCCAATTCTGATATTTTTTTCACTAATTGGTCTTTTGACCAATCACATCAGCTCTGAAAAAGATCTGATGTGAAAAGATCTGATGTGATTGGTCAAAAGACCAATAAGTGGAGAAAAAAATAAGAACTGGGCTGCCTGTGTAAACGCAGCCATAGAGAGTCCTGATTCAAGTAAGGTGAACCTGTCTGCATAATTAGACACATGAGTAGCCATTGTCTGGTATCTGTGCATGAACTGTGTGAGCTGCGGAATCTGGAGCTGTGCTGAAAAGATTGACCGTGTTGATACACACCAGTTTATCTATGACATGCTGAGATGAGGAGTGGTTCCAGATGAGGACATCAGCCTTGGCTTTACCATGTCAGATAAACAGCTCCCATGTTCCCAGGACATTGGGGAAAATGTCTGACAATGTCAAAGGAAAACATTATCTTCGTGTCATGAATCAAACATAAGAAAGTTCTAAAAATGTTTGACATTTCCCTGGCCCTGGGCCTAGATTATTTACAGAGGGAACATTCTCAGAACACCTCTGGACAAATTCAAGGTAATCCCACTTGAAATACTCTAGGAACAAAACATGAAACGCAAAAACAGATAAGCTTCAATGCAGAAACACAGAAAAAAGCAGCAAATAGCATCTAATGTCTGTATGGCCTTTCTCTGGACATCATACTAGGAGTGGGTTGTTTAGTTGGAATGGGTAGAAAGA